ACTGGTTCTTGGATGTGTCTCTGGAGATGGTGGTTCGACTCTTGAGTGAGGGGCTGTAGTAAGTGCTCCCACTATAAGTTATGTACCCGATAAACTCCAGCCCCTTCCCTGGAGGCTGGCGGATCCAGCTCCAGTCATAACCACTGGTGATGGAGTAACCAGAGACAGTGCAGGTGAGGGAGAGGGTCTGCGAGGGCTTCACCAGTCCTGGGCCCGACTCCTGCAGCTGCACCTGGGACAGGACACCTGAGACAGAGAGAACACAGTGAGTCCTGGGCTCAGATGCAGGATCCCCATCTCCTCACGTCTAAGCCCTCAGTCATACATCTGGGAGCTGACAGCAGGATGAGGAAGAGCCACACGGGAGTCATGTCTTGCAGGTGAGGTCCTCGTTCCCCAGAAAGTATTCTCAGTGTGAGGAGGCCCTGCATTTAAGTGGACGCCAACTGTGTGTGTGTCTGGTGGCCGAGTGGGTATTTGCATATGGGAGGCATCTGCACATACAAAAGGCAAGAGGTGAGAGAGGTCCTGGTTTCTGGGGCTTCTCCTGGAAGGACGTGCTGACTATGTCCCTAGAGAACCAGGCCCTCCTTGAGGTCCTGGTCACCGTGCCCAGGGACCTCTTCTTCCACACCAGGGGCGGTGCTGCAGGAGGTGGTCAGGAAGTATGGTGTGGGCACAAGTAGTGACTCCTTTGGGGATAAAAATCAATGTGGCTCTGTTTCCATTGATATAGATAGATATAGATATACTAGAGGACCAATGGACAAAATTCATGCAAAGGGCTTGGCCGCTGTCACCTCAACGGCTTCTTCTGGAAGGACATCCAGTCTGACTAGCATATTATGCTTTTATTATTATAGATGATTTAGACATAGATTTGGAGATTGACATAGATCTTCTTTTCTTTAGTCATCGAAGAATATGTACATTGATTCATAGATATAGATGTAGATGTAGAGATAAATATAGAGATATAGATGTTGATGTATTTGTAGATGTACATAAACATATAGATATAGATATTGTTTTCTTTATCCTCAATCAATGATATATTCATTCATTCTTAGAGGAAAAGTAAAGGAGACAGAGAGAAGGAAAGTGAGAAACATTGATGTGAGAGAGAAATATTGATCAGTTGCCTCCCATATATGACTCTACTGTGAATCAAATCTGCAACATTTTTATGTATGTATTTATTTATTTATTAAAATTTTTTAAAATTGATTTTATAGAGGAAGAGAGAGAGAGATAGAAACATCAATGATGAGAGAGAATTATTGGTTGGCTGCCTCCTGCATGCCCCACACTGGGGTTGTTTCCCTCATCCTGGACATGTGCCCTGACTGGGAATCGAATGGTGACCACCTGGTTCATAGGTTGATGATCAACCAGTGAACCATGCTGGTTGGGCTCCTCCTGCATTTTTAGGATTCACAGAGCTCCCTGTGTACCTGGGCTCTGGCCATTGAGACTTTGGCAACATCATAGGTGACCAGGCCCCAGCCCTTGCTTGGCTGCCCTCTGATCCCAGTGGCCATGTACTTATCCACTACGATGCTCTGCAGCTAACGGCCCCCCTCAGGTTCCCTCAGCACAGGTGTGAGCTGTTGGAGGTGCTGTGAGGTCAGTGCTCAGTTGTGTCTCCACCTGACACAAGTGGGACCTGCACTGCTTGACATTACACGTGGTGACTGCACGTGGACTCAGAAGGGCAGGTGAGGTCACTTCAGGGTGCCTGAGTAGCCCTGGCCCTTGCGTCTCTGGGAGGGCCTGACACATTAATGGGCATGAGGGAATGACATGGGGCTGCATTTAAGGCAAAACCTACCAGAAAGGAAGGAGAGGGAAGACACATCCACACGGGGCGACCTGTGCGGGCCCCATGAGGTGATAGTGTGGGCAGCAGAGGAGAGAGGGTGAGGATGGGGTGGTGTCTGCGGAGCTGGAGGCACAGCTGAGGTGGGTGGGACCATGTCTCCATTCAGCAGGTTCTCAAGATGCAGGTGTATTCTCCAGGGGAAGCAGGACTGGTGTTGGGACGTGTCCCCTGGGACCAGGTACTGAGACCCACGGGGAAAATGCCCAGCAGGGCTGTGACAGGGCCCATCACTAGGCCTCCTTCCTACCTGTGTCCTGGGACACCCTGGGAGTTGGGTCTGCCTCCCAGGCTCACAAGGGGCAGTGCCCACAGGGGTCAGACCCTACACCTCCATGATCAGCCATGCCAGGGAGAGGAAAGTGGCTAAATGCCCCCAAAGGGCTTCTCCTGGGAGAACGAGGGCTGATCACCCTCAGGTGAGGTTTAAGGCCTGGAATCCGTGTTCCCCGCTCAGCATTGAGTGTAGGGTGGGGGACGTTACTCTCAGTGAGGGGACAGGAATCCCTACAATGTTTTCCTTGTCAACTCAGAGAGCAACCATCAGGGACATGGTGACAGGAAGGGCACAGATGAGAAGTCAACCAGATCTGAAACACAGCCACTTCCTGC